AAACCCTTTAATGACCAAACCTGTATGGATGATAAATATATCTAAGGATTCACATTACCAGGTTTACTTCAGATGCTGGATCGGTGTTAAGACGAAAAATGACCCCCATCGAATAATGACCGGGGGTCATTTTTCGACAGCGAAAAATGACCCCCGGTCATTATTCGACGTAGAAAATTGACCCTTTTGCCCGTAGAAAAAGTGTCACCACCCTAAAAATTTGCAGAACCCACGTGAAGAAAAATGAACCACGTAGACAAATGACTCCCTGTTGATTAAAGCTGAAATGTAAAGGGTGAAAAAATTATATAAAGAAGCATATTGGCCAAAATGCTTACCTGAGCTTATTTGGAATAAATTGATGATATGTTGATCTCATAACATACGATTATAACTATATTTTACGGTCAATGCCATGATTCAGAATCTAAAGGAGGAAAGATTTATCAAGCCGAAAGGGTTGGGTAAACATTGTTTTTCGATGGTGGAAATCATCGTACTGACAGAAAATAATCAGCAGTATCATATATTATTACTGTATATCCTCCGCTTGTAAAGCTGAAGGGTATAAAGTGATTGGGATGTCCGTCCGTCTGTTACACTTTGGAGTATCCATCTCTTATTTGCAACTCCTCTTATATGTACAAAAGATGTATTTGTATAACAGCTATGTCCCTGTATTGCAATATAGGGAAGATTAAACTTTTTTTAAAGACAATTTAAATATAATGGTACCCAAAGTGGGGTCTTCTCACAAGAAATACAATTGCAAATGAAGAAAGTCTTAGCACTACTTCAAAATTAATGGCTCATGATAAGTGTTTGACAGGTAGGTCAAACTCAAAGGTCAAAGGGTCAAAGTTGATGGTTTAATGTAACAAGGATTACATTTGTGAAGTATGAGAGTACTAGTTTCTACTGTTTAAAAGTTATAGCCAAAGTAAATTAAAAATTTGGCATTTTGTGTAAAATGGGGGAAACCCTAAAGTAAAGATCACAAGCTCAAATTTGGTTGTACCCTAAGTAAGGTCTTATCACAAGAAATGTACACCACATGACTGCTTCAACAAAAATGGAACTCGTAAGTTTACTAACCTCGTCATTGGTTATTTGAAAATTTATTTTGTTAAAACAGATTCTGATTGCACACATAAGTAGTCTGAAGTTGACATCAAGGAGATGCTTGAGTTTCTGATTGACAATATCTATGTGGTTTTTGGAGACCAGGTATTCCAACAATCTATTGGAATTCCCATGGGTACAAATTGCGCTCCGTTTTTAGCAGACTTATTTTTATATTCATATGAAGCAGAATTTATGCAAAATCTTTTACGTGAAAAGAAGAAAACACTTGCTGTGGCCTTCAACTCGACATTTATATATATTGACGTCGTATTGTCAATAAATAATGATAATTTCCATTCCTACGTCAACACGATATATCCTGGTGAACTTGAGATAAAAGATAACACACAGTCAGACATTTCTGCTTCATACTTGGATATTTTACTTGAAAAAGACACTAATGGTAATCTAACAACCAAGCTATATGATAAACGTGATGACTTTAACTTTTCTATCGTCAACTTCCCTTACTTATGCAGCAATATACCTTCATCACCTGCATACGGAGTATTTATATCTCAGTTGATTCGATACGCAAGAGCATGCTCTACGTATGAACAATTTCTTAAACGAGGTAAATTATTGACAAGCAAGCTTAAGTTGATGAAACAAGATTATCAACAGTCTCGTTTAAAGTCATCATTTCGTAAATTCTTTGGTCGATACAATGACCTTGTCAGCAAATACAATTTATCATTGAATGAAATGCTGACAGACGTTTTTCATACCAATTGTTATGCCATTATTTATACACTGAATTGACCACGGATTTTTTCCGTTATTTCCTGATTATGACAACGAGCACGTGTGCGGCGGGTGTGACCGGTCGGCAGGGGATGCTCACTCCTCCATGGCACCTGATCCCACCTCTGATGTTTCGGAGGTCCGTGTTTGCTCTGCTCTTATTTTGTATATTTGTTTAATGGACGTTGAGATTGAATACTGTTCGTTATTTCCATATCCTTCACGAAAGACATAGATACAATAAATGAAAAGTTATGGTAATGGTTAAAGTTTTTTCGGAGAAACAGACCGCCAGATAGACAAACAGACGGACACGATAAAACTATATACCCCAGAATCTTTGATTACAGGAAAATAAAAAGAAATGGTCTTTATTTAACTTTTCATTTTATAATACAGTATAAAGAAGACGTTGCATAAATGAAAAGGTTTGTTCTGATATTCATATTAAATTCTCTGAAAAATATTCTCTGAACTGGGTAAACCCGTGGAGTAAAACAAGAATTAAGTAACATAACGAATGTGCTAAATCAAAAGGTTATGTCTACATTTATAGTTTTTGCATTAGAATGTGTATTTTACACTAGCCCATAGCTTTACAGAGCATATTTGTAGGTGTTATACCCACCCCACCAACATACTTATTAAGGAGGAAGTCGATTATCACTAAAGCAACAAAAAACAACCCTAGGCTACCCTTATTTTTCTATAAGGAGGGACCAAAAAGTAAGCTTAAAATAATCTACTATTATACTAATTTTCAACTGTTACTTTGCCACGAAACTTTCAAGTATACCCCTTTCAACATTTATAAGTATGCTTTTATCATGGCGAAGTAAATCATGATATGATAAAACGTGTGTGGAGGTTTAACTTCATTTCAATATTTTATCTAGAGCCTCTTTCAATATAATTGAAAGGTATATTTTTACTTTTCATTTATTTATTTTTGTTTGTTTTGACTTAACGTAATTTTTTTTTTGGGGGGGGGGGAGGGGGTTGAAAATGTCCTCCTCTTTCATTGTCATATAGAATTTGCCAAACTTATACAAGCTAAAAGTTGAAATGAAAGAAAATTTATTTTTATATTAAAGAGTATTGAAACCTGACTGTTGCATGGTTTGATTTCTAAAAAACAAGTGGAGTGTCATTCTTTAAGCAAACTCTCTAAGGAGGAACATTAAAAAATTATTACTTACTTAATCACTTACTTGACAATTAAAGAATCTCTTTTCACTGTAAAGGGGGTCATTTTTCAATGAGGTCAATTTTTTTTATAGGACTAACATATAAGATAATAACCTCTAGGACACTTTTTCTACATAAATAGATTTTTTTCTACGGGTAGGAAGTCATTTTCATTTTCTGTCGTTGAAAAATGACCCATGGTCAATATTCGATGGGGATCATTATTCGTCTTTACATCGGATCTTCATTTTTTCAGTGACGAGGTTGGAGTGATTAAACAGGTTCAATCTCAGTTTACTATAATCTCAAAATTGAAAAAGTAAACTTGCATGAATGATACAAAGGACGAACACTCTCATGCTGATTCAGAACTGAAAGCTCAAGTGAGCTTTTTCTGATTGAAAGGTGTCCGGTATCCGTCTGTGCCTTGTGTTGTTTGGAAACATTTTTGGCTTGTTCCTCAGAAGCACGTGGCCAATTTCAGTAAACTTGTCACAAAAGTGACAAAATATTTTTGGATAAATGAAATTCAAGTTTGAAAACTGAAGAAGCCACACTCTTTTTAAAGGGGAAATAGTTCGAGATAAATTGTTTGCATATTCTTATATTCTTTTCAAGAACCACTGGGTCAGAAATGATTAAGCTAGTGGGAACGTTTCATTACATAAAGTACAAATTATGAATCTTAAGGATAGAGGGGGGACAAAATAAGGTTTTAAAGTTACATTGGAATTGGATATCAAAATCGAAAAAAGACCTTTTTTCTGGAAGCAGGAGGGAAGTTTGTTGAATGTGATCCTACTTCTTAGCTCACCTCGACGAGGTCAGGGTTAGGGTTAGGCGTCGGTGTTACGGTTCAAGTTTTAGGAGCAGGTCAATTCCCAAGTAACTATAAGCCCTATCTGGACCAAACTTGCATGGATGATGCATCTAGGGATGGACACTACCATACTTGCTCCGGATGCTGGATCTGACCTACATTTTCTAGATGAGTGACCAGGTTAAAGTTTTTGAAGAAGGTCCATTCTTGAGTAACTATAAGACCCACCTGGACCAAACTTGCTTTAATGACGCATCTAGGGATGGACACTACTGGACTTGCTTCGAATGCTAGATCTGACCTACATTTTGCAGAATAGTGTCTAAGTTGTTCCGAAGTAACTATAAGCCCTACCTGGATAATTCTTGCATGGATGATGCAACTAAGGATAGGCAATCGAAACCTACTTCGGATGCTGGATCTGACATACATTCTGATCAAATGATTGACGAGCTTTATGTTTTTAAAGCAGGTCAATCTTCAATGAACTCTATGACTTATTTAAAGAGAACTTGTATGAATATTGTTGTCAGAACAAGAGATGCTGAACAAGGGTCGCAAAGTAAGAAGTCAATTCTTACGTCGCAGTTTCGAATCCAACTGTAGGACGCGGAGACCGGTCCTTCGGATGAGACCATGTAAACCGTGGCCCCGTGTCACAGTAGGTGCTGACACGTAAAAGATCCATGCCTGCTCAATAGCTCTGAGTGTCGAGTATGGGACAGTATACGTATCTGCAGCTCTCCACAGGCAAGTGGTGGCGTCTCCATATGAGTGAAAAATTCTCGAGAGGGACGTTAAACAATATACAATCAATCAATCATAAGTCATTTAAAATATATTGTGGCTTCATCCTTCCCCAGGATAATGATTTCATATAAACATGAATCATCATGGCTTTTTCTGTTCTTGAGAAGAAGCTCTTTAATGATTTTTCTTTTATTTTTTATATTTGATATTTTATTGATTCTGTTGAATATTACGCAGAACGATTGGCAATTTTTTTTAATCTAAGAACTGAACATGTTATTTGTTTTCTTTTAGTGACAGTGGTGCGGAATGTATATCGAATTGTTTATTTGAGGGATTGTATCGTATAGTGGGGACTTCACAAGTGGTAACCATGAGAAGAGAGATTATGGACTTGCACGAGATGATAGTAAATCAAGTAATGAGTAATGGAATGAATGAGATGATAAGTGGAAGTAGGAGAGATGGTTTCAGATTCAGGGGATCAGATGTTGATACAATGTTCTGGTTTAATGACCACCGAGTGATCTGGAACTTGAAGCAGACTAATATGTATAAATTCGGTCAACGATCACTGCTTTTAGCTGATCCTTCCAACAGTCCTCCGGGATTCACATTGCTTCAGTTATTAACACCACCAAAGTACCGAGAAATAAATTCTGCATGCATCAGAATAAATGATATATTCTATGTATCTAGTTCTATGTGCAGACGGGTCACGTACATAAATAATTGTCCAAATACCACTGAACATGGACCGTGTAGTAGAAAACATACGCACACGAATACTGACTTTGATTATGCGTACTGTTTTGCCTGTGACTTTTGGCCTCCTTCCGCCACTTCATGGATCAACAGATGTCACTCTTGGCCACAACGTCATGTTGTACATGACGTCATTAGAAATGGATGTCATTTTGTAGCAATAGGACACAAACTAGGAAATTATAGGGATACTGAATGGAGAATTTCTTTCTCCTTGGCAGAGAAAAAACTTGTGTGTGCTATGAATCACTGTCAATTCTTAACGTATGGTTTGCTTAAGCTGTTCTTACAAGAGGCAATAAATAGTGATTGTAATGAAAACGATAAATTGCTGTGTTCTTATCACATGAAGACAGCTATTTTTTGGTTGATTCAACAAAACACAATGCCATTTTGGCGTCCAAACAATCTTTTGGATTGTTTCTGGGTTTGTTTTAAACTTATCCTTAAATGGACATATGAGGGGGTTTGTCCTAACTTCTTCATTCCACAAAATAACATGTTTTTAGGACGGATCAATGGAGGAGATCAAACAAGTTTATTCATTAAATTGTATGGGTTATATGAGAAAGGTTTAGAATCTCTGCTACAAATTCCCTCTATAAAGTCCACCAATATAATCTCCCTTTGTAATCCAACCCTTTCAGCTCGTATGAATGAACAGATTGGGACATATGAGTTTGATGTAGAGCTATTTCATGAGGTTTACTGCAATGGTTCTAATCTCTGCTTATTTAATGCTCACCACTGTATACGGTACCTGGATACATTAGAAAGGTTGTTACATACACCTCTGACTCAGTTTCAAGTTGTCATGCTGCAAAGACATGCAGCCGTCATATTTCAGCATGCTGCTTTTATATTACACAAAAATAAAAATATGAACAAACTAATGTACTTAACTGACAAACTGTCGTGTCGTTTGCTCAGATTAGCCGCCAAGTTTGGATGTATTTCAGATATGTTGTTTATTGCTATGTATTATTACAAGACTCTTAGGTACGACAAAGCTTTAGCTGTGATTGAAATGACAAAAGATAAGTTAGCAAAGCCATATGTGATGTATATATCAGAAGTAGATCCAGAGAGGTATAGCGCGGCTGTGGAAGGACTGTCCTGGTCGAAAATAATGAGAGAGGTTGTTGCTTGGGATGTCACGTTTTACAGTTCAATCTTATGGATGAATGAGTTAAAACCAGAGCAACAGTGTTCTTTAATGAATAAATACCCGGCATGCAATATACCACCATTTATTCTGTTACACATGATAGAGTTCTTGTGCCTAAGATATACTGACTCAGTGAAATCACAAACAATTGTAAATAATTTACAGGTACTAATAGAAGATGGTCAAAGAAAGTATGTATCTATATATAAAAAAGACATATCATGGCAAATCTTGGGGATTTGTCAGCAGATGTCAGGAAATCTTCAGGCTGCATTTTACGCTTATCAACAATCACTCGAACAATGTCCTGCTCACGAACTGCAAACTGTTACATTAATGAGAATGCTGGGTATCATCGGGCAATGCATATGGAAGAAGTGAAGTGATATATTACAATTAACAAGCCTTTATCAAGGCATTTTTTTTTTCAAGATATAAAATGAATGGCAATGAATGAGTATAAAACATTGGTGAATTATGTGTGCCAAGCTTTAAGGTATTCAATATTTAAGGAAGGATCGATATTACTAAATAACAATGTAAGTGAAATGAATCAAATTCACATTACAAGTAACGTGTAGGAAGCCGGCCAAGTTGCACTTAAAATGTTTTTAAAGAATTATCTGTCCATGATGAAAAGGAGAAAATTTCATTTTTAGTAAAATATCTGTAGTAAAGTATTTATTTTTATTTTGCATTTCAATTAAAGTATAGGCTACTCATAATTTTACCAAGATTTTTGTTTACAGTTCAAATCACTTTTCATAATATTTTGATAAAACATGTACTGCCCATACACTTAAATGTAAAATTCAAGGGGCAACTAATTGGAGAATGAACAAAATTTTGAAAATGTCTGTTGTAGTATTTTTATTTGATAACACCTTCAAAATTCTACCATGAAGCATTGCATAATTGTGTTTTAGAATGCTGTTTGACGCTGAACCCTTGCTTTATATGGTTATGATTGTTATCTCTCAGAGAAAATATGTTATTCTTTGACTAAGTTCATAATTTTGTAAAAAACACTAAAAGATTTTAGTCTGAGCCTTATTTTCCATATTCTTTATTACTTAATTTTTTGTTTGTTTGTTTTTTTTCATCATTTTTTTTCTTTTTTTTTAATTTTATGTTATTGTTTTCTTATGCATTTTTTCTCCTCAATTTTTCTTCAATGATGTATTCTTTATAATTCTCTTAAGGACATACGCAACGTACCTTACCTACTGATAGATTTCAAAGATATTCTAAAGTTAAACTTATAATATAATTACATGTTCATAGACAAAAAATCGGCATGCCTTGCCAGATTTTTTGAAAAGATATCGAGTTTTGAAAATTTTTGCATTTTTCAAATAAAAATGTATAAAAAATATAAAACATAAATTCCAGATTTTAATTCATCAAAAATTGTTTTAGAAGAGGTGTACAAATTCATATATAGACATTAAAAATATTGAACACAGGTCCTTCTTTTAGTGGAACTCTTCATCTCCAGGGAAGAACCCCAAAAAGTTCAAACTACGTTGCGTATGACCTTATTATTAATTTATGATACATGTTTTTTTTTTAACTTAAAATATGTACAGTAATTTAATTGTACCATGTGTACCTTGATCTCAAATGGAGAGAACTAATATAGGTCCTTGACCTGCTGTTCAATCCATATTCATATTGTACTCTTTGTATATTATGAATAAAATACTTCTTAAACGAAACATTTGTATTATCTATGTACGAGGGTTGTCCAAGATAAACGCGCACCTTTTGAATATTTCAAAAGCTATTCTACCAAAAGTAATAAATTTTTGCTCGCTGTTGGATAATTATCTTTTAGATATTGTTGTGATAAGTGTATTGTTTCATTATGTAAATAATTAGTAACATTGAAGCTGACATGAAATCTTAAAAACGCAACATGTTCATCTATGTACGACTTGTTTCATAGCAACTATAGTCGTTTTCCGCCATATTTCTTTCAGATACCTTGTCTCATTGTAACGATATATACCCCAAAACGCTCGTTACACTTGAATGATTTTTTGGTTTTAGGTATCGACTTGTGCACATCTCCTATGGTAAAGCATATGATAACACATGAGGAGATCAAGACAATTGAAAACCACAGAATAGTAAACAATACAATAATCAAATTTCTGAATAATTATTGATTTGAATTAAAAAGAAAATAATGAAAGTTTGGTGAGAAATTTAGATGTACGAGTGCATATTTTTACAGGGCGCCAATTTATGCAGAATAAACTCGAAATAAAAAGCAGTAAATTCTACAAAGATATTTTGAAATTATATCATTTGAATGGAACAAAACAACCAACGTCTCTGATTTGCAGCCCGTATGCAATTGGTGCATATCGAAAAAACGCCTCGAAAACTGTAAATGTGCCCATATCTGATAATAAGGTTACTACATCGGATCGAAGATGTGCACAAGTCAAGTGATATACACCCTGAATTCCATTTATTGAAATGTGTATTGTAAAAAAGAAATAAACGCCACAAAAGCTCAATAGTAAACACACTGTCATTACTCCGTACACACTAGCACGGCGAAGCACTTAGTCCGTGCTGATCAGATTTTGGTTAGGAAAAATATCACAAGTGGAAAGAGAAGTTGTGGTATTGCGCGGCTGAAAGGGGGGAGGATATAATTGTGCAATAATTGTATATGTACATGTATTTCTACTTATACATCCATACAAAGTCATGTATATAGTCTGCAGTTGGTTTGCGTCGCAAAATTCATTTGTCAATTATAACTGATTATTTTAGTACTAATCTCAAATCCAAACCAAGTAATTTGATGCACGGTAATTATTTACTTCAAATCCTAAAAGCAGTTAACCAGAATACTTTTTTTATGTGTACATAGATCTATACGTTCTTTCACACACAAACAAACGAAGAAATGCCATCCCCTGTTCAGATTAACATTTAAGCATTTGATTTTTTAGGCTGGGGAGGGGGGTGCAAAAATAATTTTTATTTACTCTCTTGTATACTGAACTCTCTCTCTCTTTCTCTCTCTCTCTCTCTCTCTCTCACCTCCCTTAGGGCAATGATAGGCATATGATCCGGATAAGAGATGGGTACCCCAAAGCGTAACAGAACGAAGGACGGACATAACTATTACTACATACTCTCCCACCTTTCAAGCGGAGGATATAATAAAAGTGAAATATACATCACAGGAATGAGTACATTTGAAACTTTCTCAAATACCTTCTCAAACGCATTGGCTTCGGAAGCAAATTGAAAGTGGGGGAGGGGGGCTAAGTGTAAAGAATTTTTTTATACATTCAAAAATCTGACAAGCTTAAAAAAAGGGAAAATGTCCTTTTCCAAAACACGAATATCCTATTTCGTGTGGGGAAAGGGGGAAGGTAGGTTCGAACTTCCGTAACAAAATTTTTCTCCAAACACCAACGCTCTCCTCTTTTTTTATCTATACTGCGACTTGTCTGTGGAAAGCGAGAGGGAGGGGGGGGGGGGCTAAACCCACGCTCAATGTCTAAAGTAAGTATATATTTGTAAAAAAGCCATCTCCCGATTCCGACCCTTATGCTCAAACGTATACGAGTAGAACCTGCACCTGGCCCCAAGACCATAAACTGAGAATAGACTTCAGTCAAAAATTTGATTTTCAATATCTTGAGCTTTTTTTAATGTATTTCCTTAAAATTTAGCAATTTTATTTAACATTTAAATTTAAAATCATGATGAAAATCTTGTTTTATTATCAAAATTATTTCAAAACTTATATTGCTTTGAAATTTTGACTTAAGTCTGTTCTCAGTTTATGGTCTTGGGGCCTGGACAACAGACAAGAGAATTTTTTAAAAGCTAATTGTGGGTAAAATGTGGAATTCTCACGGGGGGTTTGCTCTCTCTTTCTATCTGCTTTTTCTAGTAATCATTAATTATTTACGTCTAGAAATTTGATTCACATTAAATTCTATTTTCATTATCATTGTACCACAGAGTCAAACTCGTTTATTATACCCCTCGCAATAAGTTGCGTAAGGTATAATGTTTTGGAGCCATCAGTCAGTCCTTTTTTTTTTGGTCAGCGCAACTGATTATAAACCACTGCACAGAGTTTTGTCGAACTTTCGAGATATTTAAAAGTGTCAATGTGTGTCTAGTTGCACATCACCAGGAAATTCCGAATTCATTTGTTCGGGAATTTCAGCACTTTTACATTTAGATTTTGGCCATGTCTTTCTTATAAAGATGAGCAGTTTGTAAGCGCATTTCCTCATAAAAAGCTGCACAAATTTCGTCAAATTTTGCAGATATTTAGGACACAATGTGCATAGATGTGCATATAACAAGGAAATTACAATTCCTTTATTTTTTTCTGGGAATTTCAGCACTTTGACTTTTGGGTGTATGTTTTCATTCATTGTGTATAAAATTATAAATAACTTTAATTAAAATTATATTAGGTCTAATAAAGCCAATACAGAGTATTTATTTGATAATAATTAATCATAAAGATATCAATCTGTTTCAGACGTTTTTCTTAAATTATTTTTATGAGAGTGTTAATATGCATGTTTTATTACACCCCCTGAGTGCCAAGTATAGGTCTAAATTTGAAGCCCTTCACCTGCATACGGTGACGTCTCCATATGAGTTAAAAATTCTCAAGAGGGACGTTAAACAATATACAATCAATCAATCAATATTACACCCCCTCCTATCACAGGAAAAAAAATCTCCAAAAGGTGAATGATTCGTAATAATGCATGCTTTATTATAAATTAAATGAAGTTAAACCATGTAATCATTAATTCTATTTGCAACATTTACAGACAAGAGTAATGTTTAGTTTTGAAAAAAAAATACTTATTTTATTTATATTAAATTATTTTCAATCAACCCCACAGAGCTTACAACCTTTGATATTTTCCCTGACCAAATAAAATGATCGGCATGGTCTACGTGTGTCCAAGCATCTTTTACTGTTGAGTTAGCAATGGATTACATGACTTCTGAGTTGCATTTTTCAATAAAAGTAAAATAGGATAATTCTTTCGACATGCCAGTAAGGATAGCAGTATTCAGGTAAATGTTTTATCACTGCGTTTTCCGAGTTTTCTCGACCTCCATGGATTGTTGCTGTACATGAATGTATTCTGTGT